TGAAGTTAATTTGCTGGAAGAGGTCGTTTTTCATTTTCAAAGTTGAGCTCGGTTTCACGTTTATCACTTCCTATTGAAAAAATGACGCTATCGTCCTCAGAGAACTCTTCTTCACGATCTATAATGCTGGAGTAAGGAGGTAAGTTATTTTCGCGATTTGCATTCAAAAATTTGAAATTATTTAGGTAGGTATACGATTCAAAAATTTGAAATTATGTTGGTAGGTATACGATGTAGTTACGTTAATAAGCCACTTTTTAAATATTTCCACTTAATTTGTTTTTTTGATAATACTAGTAGGAAGAGCCTTTTGCTCTCACGAAATCTATCTGACTGGTTTCATATATAAAAATTCCCATTATTTATTTATTATGCTATCTGAATATGGCCCACGCAAAATGCACAAACATCAGCACAATCATTCGTAATTGCGTCTGTTTATCGCCCTCATTAGAATGCAACTTTAAATTTGAAACTGTACAATCAGTAATTGATTTTGCCTGCTAATTCTCACTCTCCTTCTAAGCACGTCCAAATTTGCCTGGTGAATGGGTCATACTCAGGTAATTGCATATTACAATTTTTTGACCAATCGTACTCAACACACTCTCTGCACTATTCTCCACGGAGTGGTCACAACACAAATTCGTAAATATCACCCGACGCGTCGCCTGAGCTGCCAAATTCACAGTATACACACACTCTACGCGATTCTAGTGTAATTTTCTTTTTAATGCCAATATAAATAATCAATATTTTACTTTAACTTCAATAACTTAAATATAAGTTTGTTAGTTTGAAAAAGTTCACTAACTCGAGATATATTTACAGCATCCGGTAGATCAAACGCTTCAGATTGCCAGGAACACCCTTCGATATTAATGGATCCATCCAGTGAAATAGATATTTGCTTCCATTTGAGAGTCTAAATTTTGTGACAATTGAGAAAAAAAAAAACAAAAATTATATATGCTTCAAAAGCAAAGTGAAAGTAGAGACAAATGGATAGAAGGACATAATTATGATAATAAAATACAGACATTTGATAACTTGAAAACTATGCAAAATATTTATGTACGATTAACGAGAAAAAAGACTTGATCCAATAAGGATAAAGTTTAATGATTAGCACAAAAAGCTCAATTGTTTTTCTTTTTTATTTCTAGAAAAGATGTTATTACTTCTATGAATTCATTAATTAAGAATTTTCATTTTGTTTTAAATGTGGTTCTGAATTTTTATAAGTGTCGTGTATGTATTCATAAATTAATTTAAGTAAATACTGAAACGATTTATTAGTCACTAAATCACCCAAATCTGTACTGTTAAGAAATTCATCCATTGAAGGTAGAAAATCTTCGCAATCACCGTCTGAAATTAACAAGCAAAACTCATAATAATAACTCATAATAGCTAATAGGATATGAAGAAAACTAAAGCATTTACCGAACAGATGACACAATTCAATTAAAAATAAAAGAGTTTGTATATAATCAAGGGCGTTGTCGACATCATATGCAGTCAGTTATTGCGTAATTCAGCAGCCCACCACACTTTATGACGAGCTCGAAAGGATCACATAAATAGTTAAGCAATTCCAAGGCTTTGGTTAAAATGCGCATAATATTACGTATAAATGCGTATAAATTTACGAGAAATCTATCAGTGCAGCCATCTACCGAAAAAATAATGGATTTCTTTTTCCCCAAACTAATACTTATTAAAATTATATAGGCCGATTTGAGATTAAAAGTACGCATACGCATGTCGAAATTTATTCACATCCGAGAAAGGATCCACTTTAACAATAATATTTACTTCATCACGTATGCCGTGCATTGCACCAAACACTGGAATCCATCCAGAAAGAACCGTACCTTTGCCATGTGTAGCCTGTCTAAAAAACTCTAAGCAAAGAGACTTCAAACTAATATTTATTTTACCAATGGCATCATTGGCGGAGTAGGCAATGAGAAAACAAAGTCAGTCTGTATAGCATAAGTCAAACATCTTCTTTTCGGATCTTTCTCTTTTGTTAAATACGGTGATGAAATTCATAAGTGAAAAAATTGTACAAAAACACACAGATATTTGTAAAAAAATTTAAAACTAATTGAGGGTACACTACACAAAAATTAGTTGATCAAAATTTCAATCTGATTGAGGCACAAAGTAAGTGATAAGTTAAAACATGGAATTAAATAAAATATATATGAATATATTACTTGACGATTGATTAACTGACACTTAAAAACCGAATAAGCACACATTCCCTAAAGCCTATGTAATAAAATTTGAGGTATAAGTAGGAATTATCTAAATCTTCCAAAAAATAAATAATGTTGCTTGGAAAGGAATTAAAACGGATACGATAAAAACCGAAGACGATGATGTACATAGTTTTGTTTTTGAACTGTAATTTTTAGGACAACATAGGGTTTATTTACAATTCTTAGGAAGGTCCTCTTACAAATGATTTACAGTAATTTATATTTATAACGTTTTAATGCTCCTTCCGGTCTTGTTCTTTCGAATGTTACAAATTAATTCTCCTCACTCGCCTAGTTTTGCCTTCCGCAAATACTTTGCTTATACATCCTTCTACAAGCAAGTTAGCAATATTAAATTTTGATATTTTCATGCTAATCCCTTTCCACCAGTGAAATTTTCTGCGAATTGGTATTAAGCTTTCCAGCAGTCGCCAACTGAGTCGGCAAATCAAGCATAATGAATCCATCATATATAGGTTTTTATAATTTTGGAAATTAGTTCCTTAAAAAACCCTTTCATTGTCATGCAGACTCGTTTGTCAAGTGTGGCACTTTCGTAGCAATGTTTTATACAGTTCTCCACATGCTAGAGGAAGAATAGAGGCAGCGATATTTTTTAGGATATAAATGTACTGCGAAAAACATTTTATTTTCATAACCAAAATTTGTGGGTTTTTCCTCGTTATTCAGACATTATAAAAGTTAGAAGGCTGATAATTTCTACGTTTAGTTGACGAAACTCTCTACTCTGTACGTGCAAAAATGGAGGAAATCGGCCATGCTCGCACAAAGTTACATGTGATTATGATTATATATTTTAAGGCAAGCAAGACAGAATGTTTAAAATTGTTTTTTACATCCTTCCGATTTCAATTTTGCACATTCATTTGGAAAATAAAAATTGTCCGATCCAATTCGTTTCGTTCGGGTTCGTACGTAGCTCAAATTATGTCAAAATACCAAATTAAAAACATGTAGGAACATTATTGTCGGACAAGGCTGACTATTAAATACCCTGCACCACGTTGTCTAACACAATTCTTATGTTTCTTATAGAACACAAAAACAATATCTTGTTTCTATATAAAAGCGTATTAATAGGGAAGCGGGCCCAAAACGCAACTTAATGTAGTACAAGTTCGATCTTTACATAGGGCAGGATCCAGAAATTGGCATAAATGGTCTAAATTTTGTAGAGTTCATTTTTGCATGAAATTACTGTTATGAGTCAATTTTCATCACCACATATTAAAAGTCAGACTTTTCTGTTTGTCAAAGGGTGAATTTTCATAAACATCCGTATTCGAATAGGATCCAAAAAATAGGCCGAGATGGTCTAAATTTGGTACAGTTAGTATTTTTATGTCAAGTTACTAATATGACATAATTTTCATCGCAAGTGTTTAAAGTTATACCTTTTTGTCGTATGAACTTTAGTTTTCGCTATATGAGAGGCGGTTCAAAAATTGCCTAAGCCAGTTCAAAGTTTTCATATAAATTTAGAATGCCGAAATACTACTCCTTAGCCATTTTTGCTATGAAATCTTGAAAATTACAATTTTGTTCCATATAACGAACTTTCAGAATAGGGTGTTATACGGGAAGTGAGCAAAAAAGTGGACCGATCCAACTCATTTTCAATAACGTTCGTACTTGGGTCAAATAAGTCACGGTTCCAAATTTCATCAAAATATCTGAAGAATAACGACTTATAGCTTGAACACAAGTTTACATCAGACGGACAAACCGACAGACAGGCTTAGATCAATTCAAATATAGATTCTAAATCGATCGTTATAATAAAAGTTGGGTCCGTCTTAAGCCGTTTTGCGTGTTACAACGACCACACTAAGTTGACATATCCTGTACCATAAGTGGCGTAGGGTATAAAAAATTCATTGGTAGACAAGCTTGAAGCGATACCAAAAATGACTCTGAATGGATTAGTTTAGTACAAAGTTAAGTCCTTCGGAATGTTGCATACATCGGCAATTTAGTATGCTCAGTATGACGAGCGGTGTAGTATATAATTAAAGCCACCCTATATAATGAAGTATAAATGTTAATATTTTGCCACCAAAATAAATCAAGGATAGCATTAGGTGGAGTGATATAGGGACTTTATTGTCGCTTTTACTTGTTTATGTTTTTGCTACTTTTACTTGTTCTCGTGTATATTCAAACGTACGTACGTATATACAGTTAAAAGCATAGAAAGGTACATGATCACGTAATCATAAACGTTTGATACGGTGTGAAATCATCTCTATGAACTTTTAATACAGTGTTTTCCAGAATAAAATTGCTATTAAAATAACAACGGAACAACTTTTATTTTAAAAAGGCTTCGGCTTCTTTTGTTGTTACTTAAAAAAAACAAACGCTATCCCTCGACAAACTTAACTCAATTAACGTTAAAATCCTTACGTTATTTCTGTGTCTTTTAAGTTGGAAAGAGGCAAATTATTGGAAATTAACGCAGCATAGGTAAACTTAAAGCCCTACCTAATTTATTTACGTATGTTATTGTTAGCAAGTGAATATTTGGGAGCTATTTCCCATAGGCATTTGCAAAAGTCATTTTTGTCATTCGTTTAGCTTGCTTAATTAATTTTTTTCAGAAGTTTTTAATTATTTTTTATTCAAATATTTTTACATATGTAGCGGAAATTTTTATTTTTGGTTCATCTGCTAAACGTTTGTTGCGGAAACAGGAACGCATAAATAAATATGCTAATCGAACACTTTAATACGAGTAATCAGTCAATTCCAACTTATGAAAGGCATGAGAGTTTTGTGCAGGATATCGGTATAGTAAGTGAAGCAAAAATAAATACTTATGTACGGATAATCGGGTTACGCGCATATAATACGAAATTTTTTCTAGCCTGATTGCAATATGGTAATGACTTTGCCTCCCGACGAACGCTGCGCCTTCGTTACGGATACGGAATACTGTCAAGATGATATTTTTATCCTAGATTATACATATTTTTTCTATTGTAGCATAGACACCTCTAAAATCTTTGTGTTCCTCTTCGGAGAACTTGTTCTCATATGTGGAAGCTTTTTGTTGTTTCTTATACTAGGTTCCACTACGGACGGCTTGTAAGCGCAGGTCGAGCAAATACAGACGATCTAATGATATTTAAAAATATATGTTCCAACAGTTTTTGCCCATGTTTGAAGGTGTTATGCGATATTTTGGGTTTAAATGAGAATGTTGCTGGCGTTACACTGTTGGCGTTTGGCAATTGTGCGCCGGATATGATAACTGGTCTAACTGGTCTTGCTTCTCAAACTCGTATCATTTATACGGATGTTTTAGGTTCAGCCATGTTTGTGACATTTTTTGTGGGTGGTGTTATTATGTCCCTTGTGCCATTTGTCATACAGCCAACCACCTTTCTACGTGATACTTGTTTTCTATTATTTGACGTGGTTTTTCTACATTATTGCTTTAGTTCTGATCTTTCGGTATCACTAGCCGAAGCTATAGGTAAGTAGACGCTTTATTAGAAATTTTGCTGATGATTTTCTTCTCTTTTATAGGTATAACAAGCATATATCTTTTTTATATTTTCACCGTGGTCTTCGATCAGTACTTATCTAGAAAAAGAATTAAAGGTGAGTTCACCATTACAGGCGAATGTAAGAGAATTAGCAAAGAAACATAATTCGCCCACTGTTTAGTACGTTTAGGAGTTTTGGCGTTTTTTCTCCTGTGTTGTCTTCAAAGGAATTTATTTCACAATTTGGCTTGGAAGAATGTTTTTAGAGTCGCTTAAATGTTAAAAGGAAAATGTAAACAATTATTTTAAAGCTGCAGCTCTCAGGAATTAATTTAAGGTGAATGTAATTTTCTTTATAGACTGCTTTCACATTTGCGACGTCATGTGTCTCTTTCTTCCCTTTTTCCCTATTTTTTGGGGGTTTTTTAATGTTCGAACTTTCTCAGGGTTGGCCAAAAAGCCAGTACGTCGGTTATTAACTGGTTATAAGTTATGTTGCATTCGTCTCAAGCTTAGACTAAAGCTATAAAATACTGCCGTTTATAAATTAAGTGCAGAAATACGTAGTAAAGAATCCGGGAGATTTATAAATATTTAGAATTTCTACGAATTATGTTAGTTGAATTGGCCTTCCTTTTGTCGCTTTATCCTTTTTTGAGAATCGGAATCTAACCCAAGAGAGAGCGTTATTTTAAATGTATGCTCATCGTGTCTCCGCCTCCAAGTTGTTTGCCGTTTCATTAATTATTGCTTTTCTTTTTTCAGAACAACTTCGGAGGAATACTGAGTGTAAGTAAAAACCGTTACGAGAAAGTTTATTTTAAATATTAAAATCACTCTTTATTTGTTTATGATGTAATTAGTTGTATCATCAATTCATCTGTTGCTATCTCAAGCCGAAGAAGAAGAACAGGAGGAGTTGCCACCGGAAGAAGAAGAAGAAGATGTAACGGGAGAACTATTTCGACAATTGTTTTACAGTCTTAACCCTATAGATGTAACTGATTGGTTAGAGTCTGGTCGGATGGGGAAAACCGTCATGCTGATGAAGGCACCTGTTTTGGTGTTTTTGAAAGCGGTTATACCTGTAGTAGATTATGAAATTGACGGTAATGGTTGGTCGAAACTACTAAATTGTATTCAAATAGTTTTGCTACCGCTGCTTTTAATTTACGCAATAGGTACAAATTGAAAGTAATTTGAAAAAGTATTATTGTTTAAAATCATTTCTTATTTCAGTGGAAAGTGGAACCTTAGTTAGTGGTGTTCTATATGGTGTGGCTGCTTTCACTACCATCCCACTTGCTGTATATGTTTTTAAACATACTACTGTTAACGAGGTGCCCAAATATCATCGGGTAGCGTTGTATTATTAAGGTTTCCTTCAGGCATGTTTTTAATTTAAATCGTTTTTGCTTGTGGTAATTATAGTTTCTAGCGGCTTACGCGGGAATTGGATCGATGTTTATGATATATAACTGCGCTGCTGAAATTGTAAGCATTTTAGGCGTTTTGGGCATTACCACTCACCGTAGCAGCTCTTTTCTCGGTTGTACTTTGTTAGCTTGGGGTAATAGCGTCGGAGACTTGGTGGCTAACATATCATTATCTCGTAACGGTTATGAGAAAATGGGGTTTGCTGCTTGTTTTGGCGGACCTTTGTTCAGTGAGTATAATCGCTGTTAAAGACAGATTTATTCCTCTGATACAAACATCTTCGGCGGTAAGAAGACTGGACTTTACTAATTGTAATGAAAGATTTAATTAGTCAAAGCCTTAATAAAAAGCAAATTGAGTATTGAAACCTTCACAAAAACCTTTCCAAGTTACGCACTCATACATGGTGTGTATAATCTGTTAGTTTGCACCGTGATTTTACTGTTTGGGAAACAGAAAATCCCATTAAAGCCAATACATATACATATTTTATACTTTAGAGTTATGTCCGTTTATCGATTCTCCACGAACGGGAACCCTAATCCAAATTTTTTTTTCTCTTGCCCTCAGGTTAAGTTCGGAAATTCGCTAATTTTCGCGATTGGTCCACCAATAGTTGGTAAGGTTTGTTATATGAGATGTTTATGATATGATTTGCTATTTATATGACGAGTTGACGCTTCGTTTTGAGAATTAATATCCGGTCGAATGAGAACTTCCTTATTTTTTTAGATAGTACTTTATTTGTCAGCGACAATAACATTCGTTATGGATTTATCCTATTTCGCCTTTCTCACTCTCTAGCTAGCTTATTCGGAATTGGAATTGCCATGATGTATAGTGCTGGTACTAGCCCTGATTATGCAACCGATAAAATGGTACGTTTTTACAATTAATTTTCTAGCGTTACACCCATTGCAACAGATGCATGTTAAGTGCTGGCAATGGATAGAAAGATGTGCTAAAGGCAGAACTTGTCCAAGAGAGGGGAGAAATAGACCGAACATAATTTTTCTTTGACTTTTCTTTCTTAACTAATTTTTTGGATTTGTTTGTAAATGGAATTTTTCAAAGAAAGTTGGTGTAGGAGCGATGGGAGAGACGCTGAACACTTTTATGGTCATCATGTTGTCACTGTTAATATGTGCTGGCTTTTTCACAAATTTCATATGTCGTCGAAGTATGGGCCTGTTTATGATATCATCCTATCTTATTTTCGTTATTTTTTCTATATTAATGGAATTTCAAGTGATACATCCATTCGGCAGCGAGCATCGTTTTCAACCACCGCCAGAAAGTATTGGTTAACCACAAAGGAATGAAAAACAAAAATGATGATCCATTTGTCGATTGGTTTATCTTAGTTTTACTGGTTTAATTATTTCAAAATACTTTTATAAATCATAATTTAGATGAATCTGAAAACTGTACAAGAAATTATGCTCATCTTTTACAATATAACGTCTTATTAATATATCATTACGTAATTACCTTTTGGTTTTGCGCTCAAACCTCGAAATTTCTTTCATTTGATGGGGAATTAAATGAGAAATCAAACCTATGTGTACTTGTAATTGTGTTTTATCATCAGTATTTGCGCTTACGCTCAACTTCTTAAGGCAGGTTAGGGCCTGCTGTGTAGTGGAAATATGTCTATTTGGCTCCAAAGATATTGTCGTCTTACTCTAAGAGCAATATGACTAAGTGAAAAAACAAGACAAAACAAGTAAGAACATTACAGATGGACAAGTGCAATCGTTAAATTCTCCGCAATAATTCATCTAGTACAATTATTCGCTCGTTTTCGTAACAGTATATCAAACCTGTCATGCGAAGACATACTTTCGATAAAAACCCGCGTGTTGGAGAACACCCAAAATATTACGTAATCTAATCCGTACTTAGCAAGCTTAACTTACTTTCTAAAAATTCTATTAATTTTGTTAGTTTCCGTCACAGAAAAGTAAAAATTATATTCTATCCTCTAAATATGTTAGGGTCTAAAAAGTAGGCCTAGGTGATTGAAATTCCCAACTGTCTATTTCTTTGGTTATTTTGCTACTAAGGAAGAATTTTGATCATAAAATATATTAAAAGAAATCCTTTCTGAAAGGTACACTACGCATGAGAAATCTTATAAGGAGTCGAGCCCAAAAAATATGCGGATGTGGTTCAAATTGGATTCATTTAATTTTTGTCCCAAATTACAAATAATATCATGGACGTGGTACAAATTCGATAAGGTTGATTTCTATGTCAATTTGCTATAGTAAACTAACTTTCGCCACGAAATATTGATAACTAGACTTTCTCACCATGCAAAGATTCAGTTTTCGTAGAAACAGTTTTATGAGAGGGAGTTCAAGAAATTTCCCAGTCCAACCAAATTTTTTATATCAATTTAGAACGCAGCCACAACAGCAATAGAAGGCGCAATGAGCAAATACCCTCCGTATTTATTTGGGCAACTACTACAGAAACATTAAATTAAATTATATGATTCTATCATACTGGTTCTGGAATTGGAACAACGCCACGCAACCAATGGCATTTTTACGCAAATAGTGAGAAACAGCAACGAATGATTTAAGTAGAATAGAGGAATAGAAACTATAACCAAACTCTTATTTCAATAGAAATATTATAATAGGAATAAAACCTACATACGAACAATTATGAAACTACTCCAGATCGCCATCACAACAAATGGAAAATTGGAAACACATTTCCTTTTCGAATTACTCCTCTTAAATAAATTATGAAACGTGCAGTGGTAAGGACGTAGAGCTAACGGTTCCAACTGAGGAAAATCCCTTAACATCAAGAGAATATACGTTATAGCAAGAACACAATACAAATAGTGTGCCCACTTAATATAAGAGGGAACAAAGAGGAGTAATGCTGAGTAAAGAAATGCGGAAGAGTTTTTTCGTTAGTAGCTGCAATTACCGCATTTAACTATCAGAAACACAATCGGATAAAATATTATACCGCAAAACCAATCGAACGCTACGAAGCGCTAAAAAGAAACCTAACGACAAATCATTTCTGTTCTCGAAATCTGCAAGGGGATAACAAAACTTACTTTTACTCAAAAAACTACAGATTCACACATTCTCGTCTGGATGAAATTGATAGCCGAGTTTATAAGCTTTTCAACGATAATATAATAAAACCGTCCATAAATTCCAGTTCATATAATGCACTTTTTCTTGTAGTATCAAAACAAACTCATTAAAAAAAAGGTAATGATTGATTTGAAAGAATTAAAAAAGAAAGCCTCAATGAAAAATTTCCTTTCCCTGGGTTAAAAAAGATTTAAAATTGCTTTCAAAGTATGTTGCCATCCGTATTGAGTCGCTTAGAATCACTAGCATTCTCTATATTATGGTGTTCATGGATGTAGTATTAAGAATCCTAATGAAGGCTTACAAAGAGTTTTTCACCCATTCGAAACTTGCGGCCTAATATTGAATCCATGCGTTTTCAATGCTGTAGTTTATGGTAAGCTGGAGTTCTGAAAGAACTCGTCAAAATAGGGGGCAGTCAAAAAACTTATGCACCAACCTAAAGAAGATGTGTCTATGTGTATACTAAATGTCCTAAAAATCGCTAAAATTAAGATATCGTTCTAAAATTAGGAAAAGCATTGAAAGATTTGCTGATTAGTTCTTGACTTGTAAACTCGTAGTGGACTTGCTTTCTGAGCAGTACGTGTTTTCTTTTCGTCTGCGTTTTTTTGATTGCTTCGATTTTTTCGTGTGTTAAGCTCGCCTCTTTTCAATGTTTTCGCTAAACTGGTTATCGCGAATACCGTATGTGCTTTTGTTTGCTATATATAATAAAATAAAAAAAAAAAACAAAAAAAAAATATATATAAAAAAATTTAAAACAATTGACATTTTCGATTATTAGTTCCCAATCTTTTCCAGTTCTCCAAATTGCTAAAAAAAGGCATAATGGCCCCGGGGCCGCCAGATAGAAACTTAAATAGGTTTCATCTATTAGCGGGCAAATCTCCGCAAAGAAAAAAAATTAATAATTCCGACTTTCTGGTGTTGTCAATCAGTAACATCACTCCTATTGACAAAAAATATGTTGTTATTTATTTTACTGATGCTAGCCAAACAATTCCACAATTCAGTACTTTGGCCAATATATATAGACTCTATCTCGATTCTACGCGATTTACTTGTCCCCCCTGGGAGCCCACGCGCAATGGAATGACTCATAAAGTCGAAATCATTAACAAATTTATGTCCAATTTCCGCTAAACTACATGACAAACTTAACTCAGTTAGAGGCGTAATTTATGACCCTTGCTTAAAACGTGTGCTGGAAGACGAAATAGTTCGCGAATAAATTTACTAAATTAAATGACGACGGAAAAACTCGCTCTCCTATAGGAAGGATAATTATGACCTTTGATCGATATCGGTTACCGCAAGCAGTTGATGTGGAAGTCTACATTCAACTCCACATGAGATGCAAAAACTGCGAACGACTGGGTCACACGGCGAAAAGGTGCAACAGTGCTTCATCTTGTGCAAACTGCCGTCTTCCTCCACATGCTAAAAGCTGTACGCGTAGTTTCCGCATAAATTCCAGCGTAGTTTCCGCATAATCAGCACTGGGCGTTACTCAAAAAATATCCACGTTTTATACAAATGCGTGAAATTCTATAGATCAAAACAGAAAATTACTGTAGAAAGGGTGGAGCGCGACGCAAGTACGGTTACTTCCCGTATCCAACTGGAACCCAAAGAAATAGGAAAATAATTATCTCTACGCTGCTGTCGTCTCGCAAATCGAGCCTAATAAGCCCTTAACTCCAACACCTTCCAATGAAAAACCTGTTCTACCATCAACCAAAAATCATATTGCGAAACCAGATCCATCATTGGCCAAAGATAAAATTGGAAAAATCAAAGTAAAGCAGATATTGATAAAATTAAAACAACAACACGCATCCTAAAGTCTAATAAACTAAACTCCCCGGAGTCACCTGCTCTCAACTCTAGTCATCAAATTACAAGCTGTAATGCCAATCTTTCATCCTTCAATCAACCTTCGATTTCAAATTATTCACGTGCGCCCACTCGTTGCACTTCAAATGTACGCAACCACCTAAATGCAAATTATTCTGTCGGTAAGAACAAATTATTTACGCAAAATTCATATAGCGACTTATTCGACGGCGACGCTGACATGTCAACTTAACCCACATACCACTCCGTTTCCATATCACTACAATTAAATAAAGTTTTTAAAATTCTATAATGGAACATCAAGGAACTTATTAATAATTTTGATGAACTCCGTACACTCATAAGTGATTTTAATCCATCCTTTATACCCCTTCAAGAGACCCATTGTAGAAGTTCTTTTAATCGCATTCCACCCAAATCATATACAGGCTACTTCACGAATGCCGATCAAAATTCAAATTCCAACAAAAAAAAAAAAAAAAAAAAATATATATATATATAATATATATATAAAATCAAATATACGTCACAAACATATAAATTTAAGCACATACATACAAGCCGTAGCGATACAAATAATGTTAAACATAAAATTTGCAGTGCTTTCGCTTTATATCCCACCTTCGCAGCAAGAAGTCTGTTTATCTTTTCCCCCCATCAATTATATGCGGCGACTTTGATAGCTGGAATACCGTCTGGGGCACAACAGTGAACAACAGTCATGGTATTGTTTTAGAAAAGGCCTTCATTCAAAGCAATCTTTACATATTAAAGGAAGGAAAACCAACGCACTTTTCAACTTATCACACCTTTCCACATATTGATTTAACATGTTGCTCTCCGTCACATCTTCCTTTGGTCTATCTTATGGTCTATTTCTGATGATCTACATAATAGCGATCCCTTTCCAATCATAATCGATCTTAACCTTTCAAATTCCTATGTTACTTCAGCAAAACAAGCCAAATTGCTTAATATAAAAAGGATTGGATTAATTACTCGAGACAGGCCGAGCCATTTCTGAATTCAAAGCCATTTTACGGGAACTGCAAGCACGATGCTGCTGTTGCGTCTAAAGCGATTCGCACGGCTGCTCATCTCCCTATTCCTCAATCCAACAGCTTTTTTAACCGAGCCAGGCTTCCTAGGTGGAACAATACGCTTTCGTTACTGAGGAACAGGACCAAATTGCGAATGAACCCCTAAGCAATCGCAAACATGCATAAGCTTGGCAACCGATAATAGTTAAAAACAATTCATTTTCAACTCATCGTGACATTTTAAGGTTAAGAGCTAGTTTAAGTACGACATAGGTAAGTT